GAGGCCTCAGGATGGGGGTGTGGGAGGCAGGCCCGGTGTGGCGTCCGGAGGACCTGGAGGAGGCAGGGAAGCAGCGGCTGGAGAGAGCACCCAGACCGAAGGGCCTCTCATCTCCCTCAGCATCTCCCCGGCAGATCCCAGGAGACGCGGGGGTCCCTCGGGCCCTGTGGGGAATCCCCCCACCCCCCAAGGCGATGTAGGTGATGGCGCTGTAGAAATGCCGTCACCACGCGGACCGAGGCTCGGTCCTGCCACTGCGCCTAGATCTCGTGTCCTCAGAAAGCCCGCTGGGCAGATCGTCCTTGCCGGGTACCAGGACACAGCCAGGGGCTCGGTGCAGCCAGGCAGGACTCGGGATGCAGGGAGCTGGCCACAGGGCCATCCGTCCTCGCCTCAGAGGAAGGGACCAGTGGACGAGGCCATGGAGGCAGAATGGAAAGCCGGGCCTGTGGCACCCACTGGCCTCCCAATCCCTCGAGGGGGCCAGGCCCAGCACCGCCACTGCGGAGCAGAAGCCTCACCCCCTCCCCCACGCAGGGAACTGGCTCAGTAAATCACAGTGCACCTCACCACAGTCCCGCAACAGTGGCGCTGTGGACAAAGCGAGGGATGTTCAAGAGGCGTCAAAAACACCCAGAGCAAGGGCCGGGAAGGTGGCTCAGTGGTAGAGTGCTAGCTTCACACGCCTGAGGCCCTGGGTTCGATTCCTCAGCACCACATAAGCAGAAAAGGCCGGAAGTGGCGCTGTGGCTCACGTGGTAGAGCGCTCGCCTTGAGCTGAAGAGCTGAGGGACAGCTCCCAGGCCAAGTTCAGGTCCCAGGACCAACCAAATAAAACACCCCACCGCAAAAAGAAAAGGGGGAAACATAAAATAATGTGAACACCACGGGCGCAGTGCTGGGGGACATGGAGATGCGCAGAAGAGACAGCCGGATCACCCGTACCACAGTGACGGCGCCGGATCACCCGTACCGCAGTGATGCAGATCACCCGTACCGCAGTGACGGCGCCGGATTACCCGTGCTGCAGAATCACCCATACCGCAGTGACGGTGCCGGATTACCCGTACCGCAGTGACAGTGCCGGATCACCCGTACCGCAGTGATGGCGCCGGATCACCCGTACCGCAGTGATGCAGATCACCCGTACCGCAGTGATGGTGCCGGATCACCCGTACCGCAGTGACGGTGCCAGATCACCCATACCGCAGTGACGGCACAGCATCTCTGACTTCAACTTGAACCGCACTTGGTTCTGTTTTTTAATTCCTGGGCTCTTTTTGCGACGTGCTGCGTGGTGTTTTTGGTCTCTTGGTTGTTTTGTGCTTGTTTTTTTAAACCTTCTAAGATGCTATTTGTTATGTTTCCTAATAGAAAATGATGCAGATGATAAGAAATGTTTGGGGCACTGCCTGGCAGGCAGGAGCTGGAGAAAACGTGAGAACGAGGGGCCTGCTTTCTCCTCTGACCTTTACCTCTGACCTTCAGCCTTTAGCAGCCCTTTAAATACCCCTTTTACCAGCCTGAGCTTAACACTCACCTCTGTGTGTAATGCTAAGGTGTGTTTCCCCCCTCCGTTCTTATTATACCTCTGTTTTCTTCTTGAAGCTTTGCAGTTCACTTGAAAGACCTGAGTGAGAGCTGGAAGGCCGGTTGGGGGGGCAGGTGGGACCTCAGATGTATCCCGTGCCCCAGAATGCGGAGGGAAAGCTTCCAGTGGGCTCCAGGGAAAGGAGTAACAGCGGGAGGTTGAGAGAGGATTTGCCGCGGAGGTCTTCCCGGCTGTCTGATCTTCCCTGGGGTGAAGCGCGGGCACTGGGGGCGGGGGAGGGCTGGCCATGCCCCTTGTCCTCCAGCACCTCCACGGCCTGGAGAAGCCGGGGAACCGGGCCATGGGCGCGGGCCGGGGAGGAGGTGTGCTGGTGAGAAGTGACCCAGCAAGGCTATTTTTAGGTGAACCCCTCGGGCTCCCAGGCGTCATGGATCAATGCGCGGAAAGAAAACACACACACACACACACACACACACACACACACACACACACACACACACACACAATTACCTTCCTCTCGGTGCGGAATTCTGGGCCAGAACGCTGCGGGGTCTAAACAGAAGGCAAACCTTCGCCCACAGGTCCTGGTCATCTTGTTGGGACGGCGGCGTGTAGCAAGCCCGTTGTGGGGTTAATGGTATCCAAAGTACAATAGGGCCGCAAGGAGAATGCTGCGGGGCGACTGAGCGTGCTGGTGCCGAGGACAGGAGGAGGGAGAGGCGTAGACAAAGACCCTGAGCCTTGAAGAAGGGCCTCGCGGTCACAGGGATAGAGGGTGGCGGTCACGGGCTGCAGGGGGAGGGGAGGATAATGTAGATAAATCACCGGATATCTGCAAGTCCAGCTTGTATCGAAGCGTCCGCAAATGAGATCTGAACGGGGCTGTCCTGCTCATTTGGGCCGCAGGACAAACCACCAGAACACGTGGTGGTTTATGTTCCTGTCTCCGTCAAGTGTGCATAGTTGCCGGCGAGGTGCTAGAACCGGGCGAGTATGGTGGTCATGCCAGGGTGGCTGGGAGGGGGATGTCCTCCCCCCCCCACATGGCCCAAGCTCCCTTGGTCTTGCTCCTGTGGATCCCCAGGAGACCAGACCAGCATCACTTCCGCCATGTTGAGCTGGTCAGCCGGAGAGCTGGCGGAGCAGCCCCTGACTTGCTGAGCTGCAGGGGTGCTGTGGGGGAATTTGGGGGAGTTATTTTTGCCGCTGCTACAGCTGGGCTGGTTGTACCAGGTGCCGAAGGGCACCGGTAGGAGGGACGCAGGACCTGTGCGTGACCGGCCGGCTAGACAGCGTGCTGGGCAGTGGGAAAGCTTTGTTACTCTGGAGGAATTTGATGGGGTGGGGGGTGGAGGAGGGCTGGTGGTCCGGCCAGCAGTGGGGGTCGCCACCTGCTCCTCATGCCGGGATTGCTTCCACTCCCTTATGTAATGGAAGAGACCGTGGAGGCCAGCATCACTTCTAATATTCCCGCTCGGCGGAATGCAAGGCGGGCACCTTCATCCCTACTCCTCACAGTTCTCTGGCTATTTTGCTGATCCCCAAAGTCTTGACAAGAACCTGGGAAATCACTAGATTGCTATTAAAAAAAATATCAAGGACATCCCAGGAAAGGAGAGCTGTCCGGTCACAGGCCTACCTGGCAGTGGCAGCTCCAACAGAGGCGTCCCAGCGGGGCAGGGAAGGGCCACATCCGCTCAGGCAGGCAGCGCTGTGTGAGGCAGTGCCCACACACAGAGCTGGCCCCTGTTACCTGCCGGCCCTCATCGGGCCCCCATGCTGTTCCCAGCCTCAGCCACTCCTCTCCCCGAGTCCTGCTCCAGTGTAGTCATACTACACTGGTCATGGATGACCGAGAGGATGGATGGATGGGTGGATGGGTGGATGGATGATGAAAGAAAATAGATAGATGGGTGGATGGATGGATAGATGGTGGATGGATGAGTGGATGGATGGAGGATGGAGAGATGGATGATGGATGGTTGGATGGATGGATGATGGATGGATGATGGATGGGTGGATGGATGATGGATGGAAGATGGATGGGTGGATGGATGGGTGGATGGGTGGATGGATGGGTGGATGGATGATGGAAGAAAAGACAGCAGATAGATGGGTGGATGGATGGATAGATGGTGGATAGATGAGTGGATGGATGGAGGATGGAGAGATGGATGATGGATGGTTGGATGGATGGATGATGGATGGGTGGATGGATGATGGATGGAAGATGGATGGATGGATGAATGATGGATGGATGATGAATAGATGGGTGGATGAAGGATGGATGTATGGATGGATGATGGATGGGTAGATCGATGGATGGATGATGGATGGGTAGATCGATGGATGGATGATGGATGGGTAGATCGATGGATGGATGATGGATGGATGGATGGTGGATGGATGGATGGATGATGGATGGGTAGATGGATGGATGGTGAATGGATGATGGATGGACAATGGATGGTGGATGGATTGATGGTGGATGGATGATGGATGGGTAGATGGATGGATAATGGATGGATAAATGGTAGCTGGATGGTGGATGGATGATGGATGATGGATGGATTATGGATGATGGATGGTGGATGGATGATGGATGGGTGGATGGATGGATGGATGATGGATTGATTGTGGATGGATGGATGGATGATAGATGGATGGATGATGGATTGGTGGTGGATGGATGGATGGATGATTGATGGATGGATGATGGATTGATGGTGGGTGGATGGTACATGGATGATGGATGGATGATGGATGATGGATGGATGGATGGTGGATGATGGATGATGGATTGATGGTGAATGGATGGTACATGGATGATGGATGATGGATGGATGGTGGATGGATGATGGATGATGGATGAACACATGCACAGAATGCAGAGCTGAGGGATTTCGGGGCTGTGGTGGTCTGCCTGTCTCTGGAGGGTTGGCCCCACGTGCAGCGCAGGGCAGGTGGGTGGATGTGGGGAGCTGCGGGCTGAGGTAACTGCAGAGGTGCACAGCAGAGTGTGGCGTGGCCGGCATGGGGGCTCTGCCCGGGGCGGGGAGAGGGGGGCACCTGGGGGCCGCCCAGCTCCGTCCCGGGGCCGCCCGGCTCCATTCCCCGCCTGGCGAGGCCTTCCCGGGAGGGACCAGAGGCAGAGCCGGGAGTGCACAGCTCACCCCCTGGGCAGCGGAGGACAGACAAGCTGCTGCCCCTGTACCCGCTCCGGCCCTCGGGAGGGAAGTGTCCTCGTCCACCCGTCCCCCCTCGGGGGTCACTTCGCAGCGGGGACGGGGGCACTGGCGGGACACCGCCATGGCGCCCGCGCCCGGAGCGCGCCCGTCCACGGCGGCGGGTCCAGCTGCGCGGGACTCTACTGGGATCCACTGCTTCAGAATCTTCCAGAACCCTGCCCCTTCCCCCGTGACTGACTCCTTCCTGTTGCCGTTTGCAGGAACGGGTGGAATATCTCTTCCTCATCATCTTCACCGTGGAAGCGTTTTTAAAAGTCATTGCCTACGGGCTGCTCTTCCATCCCAACGCCTACCTCCGCAACGGCTGGAACCTGCTGGACTTCATCATCGTGGTTGTGGGGTGAGTGCGGGCGTCCATGCCCTCTTCTCCCCTCCCCTCCCCTCCCCTCCCCCTCCCCTCCCCTCCCCCTCCCCCCTCCCCTCCCCTCCCGAGCAGCCAGCTGCTGCCCGCCAGCACTAGGTCCGTTTCTGTAAGGCCGTCTCAGGGATGGGCTGTCGGGAGGGAGGGAGGGTATGGAGTGTGTGGCTTCCGGCTCATGGGGGGCCTCCAGCACCCCACGGGGCAGGCGGAGGCCCCCCCAAAGAGACGGCAGACTCGGTCCTCTCTCTGCCGTCCCACGGGGAGGCCAGGCGCCTCCTCCTGCCCTACTGCCCGGTGGCGACCCTGAGCAGGGACCGTGGAACCCCGCAGGCCTCCACCCCGGCGGCCGCATTCCGAGACAGGAGCCCGGTCGCAGCCCGGAAGCGTGGGTCTGACCGCCTCTCCGTGTGCTCTCTTCCAGGCTCTTCAGCGCCATTTTAGAACAAGCAACCAAAGCAGACGGGGCGAATGCCCTCGGAGGGAAAGGGGCCGGGTTTGACGTGAAGGCGCTCAGGGCTTTCCGCGTGCTGCGCCCCCTGCGGCTGGTCTCCGGAGTCCCCAGTAAGTACTGCCGGGAGTCCTGGGGCCTTTGCATGCGCCCTCGGGGCACGTGCGGGCCTGCTCCCTTCCTCCGGGCCCTGCCTCGATGTCCCCTTCCCTCCCGGGGTGTCACCGCGGTCCCCAGACACCCTGCGGCCCTCCTCGCCATGCTCTTCCCACACGGCTCACTCAGGTGTTTCCTGCCCCTCACTTCTGCGTGGGTCGTTCCGACGACCCAGCCACGCGGCCACCAGCGCCCCGTCACCGGCCTTTCCATCTTCTCTGACTTACCTGATTGCATGTAGGAGCAGGGATCAGTAACGTGTAGATCGTAAGAAGTGTGTAGAGCTGTAAGAAGTGTGTGCTGTGTGCTGTTTCTTGTAACAGGGGTTAACAGGCCGGGTGTGTTAGGAGTCAGAAAGTTGCTGGTTGGTTTTTTAAATGCCCGCGTTTGTACTGAACGCCCCTGGAGTTCCCAGTCCTAGACTATTCCCAGTCACGAGCTGGAAAGTGCGGGCCTGATAGGCCACCGGTCAGTTTGTCCCGAGGGATCTATGTGGCACTCAGGTCACGTAAGATTCCACCGGCCACCACTGCGGACGCAGGAGCGAGTCAGATGCTAAGTGCTTCCAGTTCAAAGCACAGCGGCAGAACTAGACTCCTGCGCGTGACGGATAGAATAAAACATGGCAGGCGTCCAGGTGAGGGGTGACCGGCTCGGTCACGAGGGAGCGCTGGGGGCGTCCCGCTGCTGGGGAGGTGGGGTGCTGAGGACGGGCAATCTGGGAAGCCCTGCTGGTGGAGATGGCCTCCCTGGAGCTGTTCACGGCCAGGTACGAGGCCAGGAGCTGGTCCTGCCCCGGAGGTGAACATCGAATGCCATCTTTCAAGGAAACTCCGTGATGCAAAGACCTGGCCGCTGTGCCCAAGACCCTTCCCACTGTGGAGAAAGCCCATTCCCGAGCTGGTGGGGCACGAGTCCTCGAACCGTCCCGAAGAACATCCGTGTGGGGCTGCCCACACGGGCTGCAAATACGGAGACCCGGGGCTAGACACAACGTCTGTGCGAGGAGCGTGCGCACTTCTGGAGCAATACACAGGGGTCGTTTGCTCCTCTGTGTATGGCCCACGGGGAGTGGATTCTGGAAATGCTGGGGGCGCCCCAAGACTCTGGAGACATCTCATGAAGAAAGACAGATCGACGAGCCCGGAGGCTGCCTGGCGTGGAAACCCGTGGGGCGCCGGGCCGACAGCGGGTCCTGAGCTCCGGGGAAGGGGGAGAGGCTGGCGGCTGAACTGGGGTCAGGGATGGACCAAGCAGTGTCATTGCTGACCTCTGCCCTCCCCCACTGGGAACGCAGAGGCCGCCGCCACCGGGGTCTCCTCCGCTCTGCCCAGCACCGCCCGGCGCCCTGCCTGGTCTGTGCACAGGTGATGACACCAGACCTGTTTGCTCTGCGGTCCCAGCGCCCTTAGGAAGAGGCATCGGGCGGGAGGCGGTTGGGTTACTGGGGACACGTCCAGAAGGAAGATGGTAGGACGTCAGCCCCTCCCCTCTCTCTCTTTTTTACTTCCTGGCCACCATGAGGTGAGCCGACTTCCTCCACCACGTGCCTCTGCCGTGGCATATGGCCTCGTGACAAGCCCCAAAGCACACGCACATGCACACACACACACACACACACCTGGGCCACGCGGTCCCGGGCTGCAGCCTTGAAAACCGGGAGCCCAGGCCCAGAGTTCAGGCCCCACGACCGGACCCAAAAAAAAAAAAAAAAAAGAAAACCGGGAGCCAGAACACACAGGCTTTTTCTCCTTTGAGTGGATGATCCCTGGTGCTTCGTCCCAGCCATAGAAAGATGGCCCACACCGCATCCGTGACTGAAAGATGGCCGATGCTAATGTTAACCACTCACCAGACCAGGCGACGACCCCACACCCGTCCTGAGGTGCCGGTTTCCCGGGGTGGAGCCCCAGGTTGGAGCGTCCCAAAGCAGGGACTGCGCACAGGTCTTTAGTCCCGCCTCCTCTGCCTGCTTCTCTGCTTTGCCTCAGTTTCTCTTTGAATATTGGGTGCAGCACAGGGAAGGGCGGGACTTCCTGGGAAGCCCCGCGCCTGTCTAGCAACAAACTTGCTTTTTACATCCGCCTCCGACGGAGGCTGTGAGGCCTGCCGTGGGCAGGAGAAGGGTAGAGGCTGGCACAGGGGAGCGGGGAAGCTAACCACACCGCGAGTGTCCCTCGGGATCCCCATCCCTTCTGTCACGGGGCTTTGTAGAGCAGCCAATCGATAACAGTACAAGACTAAACTGGGAAATTCTCTATGGTCGGTGCTCTGGATGGAGCAGTTAAAATTAATAAGAATAAACTGGGTGCCAGTGGCTCACGCCTGTCATCCCAGCTGCTCAGGAGGCTGAGATCTGAGGATCTCGGTTCAAAGCCAGCCCGGGCAGGAAAGTCTGTGAGACTCTGATCTCCAATAAACCACTCAGAAAACCGGAAGTGGTACTGTAGCTCAGGTGGTAGAGCGCCAGCCTTGAGCTGAATTGCTGAAGGACAGCACCCAAGCCCAGAGTTCAAGACCCACGACCGACCCAAACAATTAATAATAATAGTACTAGTAACAGTGACAAAGAAAGCGCCCTACCCCACGGCAGGTTGCACGTTCTCTGACCTGCACAGTAAATGCTTGCTGGACTCCCACAGCTCCAAGAGCTGGCCAGCCGGCCCCGGGGTCCACGAAGGAGGGACATCGGCGCTAATCGATGGACACGATGCTGCTCACTCGGGGAAGGGCAAGAAGAAACACCCACCGTCTAGGCCGTGGTTTTCTTGAGACAAACGTGCATGCCCAAACAGACACCCGGCCTGCAGGGCGCTCAGCTGGCTTTAGGGGGCGGTGGCGGCCGGTGGCTGTGGTGTTGGTCTGGTCGTGTTTTGAGGGACTGTGAACTCCTTTGGAAAGATCGCCTGCGGTTGAGCAGCAATGTGAGAGGGTTAACCTGCATCCGCCCCAAAGCTCCCCCGACCCCTGTTAATCCGCACCTCCAGACTAGAGAGCAGCAGGATCCTCCAGTTTCCCTCTCCGTCATGACTGCTGGACTTGGAGCGGCCGGTGGCCAGGGTGGCCTGGGGCAGAGCCTGTCCTCCACGAGCTATGCAGACAGGGCGAGGATTGCTGGCTGACACACCCACCGCACCTTGGCCGCTCTCAGGCCGCACACACGCAGAAGCCACTCCAGCATCCGGAACTTCCACACTTCCCGCTCTGTGACAGCTTCCCTTCTGTGCCTGTCCCTGTCCCGGCGATCTTCAAACACGGACAGACGGCCAGTCCGTAGCAAGGTGATCGTCGCCTAATTAGAAACGATGGTCGTAATAAAGGCCACTTAGGCCTGTACGTGACCCGTCCTTTCCTTCCAAGTGCTGGGGAGGCCGAGGGGCGGGGAGTGGGGTGAAGCTACCGTGGAGCCGGCGTCCAGCGATGTGAGTAGTCGGTGGGGTGTTGCCACCCAGGTCCGAATTCCCAGAGCCACCGCTGAGTAGCTGCGTGCCTCAGTTTCCTCGTCTGTACGGCGAGGATTACAATCTCGTGTGAGGATCAAATGAGAAGGGCAGCGGTGGGTGACACCCAGGAAGCCCACAAGAGCACGCGCTGCCGGGATTTCACGCTCATCTCCCAGCCGGAAAGTAAGAGAGAAGAGGGAAGAACCCCGAAGACTTCCCACCCCTTCAAGTTCCCGTCACCCCAGTAAGACCACAGCGGGGACAAGCCCTTGGCGCACAGGCCTTCGTGGCACCTTTGGGTGCGGGACGTAGCTGTTTCATTGAAGTGCAGCTTCTGCTCAGGAAAGCCCGGACGTCTTACACGGACAGCCCCAGAGGCGGTACCCTGGCCCGGCTCCATCTGCCTTGTCTGGACCCCTGTCATCACACCCAGTTCAGCTATCTTGGAAGTAAAAGCTAAGAGGGAAAGAAAACAAGATCCTCTCCCCTTGCCTGTTTACGTCCCCTCCCTCCTACTTGTCCGTCTTAGAGAAGAGTTCCTTCCTGCTGGCCAGCACACGGCCCCCCAGCCAGGTCTGCCACGCATGTCTGCGGAGATGCTCGTGTGCCCGGAAAACATCTTCCTCGCGTACTCTTGCTAAAGGCTGTGTTTGCTGGGTGTAGAATTCTTGGTTGGCCGGGGCTTCCCGCCCGCAGCTTTACATGCGCCGTGCCCCTTTCTCCTGCCCCGGGCATCTCTGAGGAGTTGTTCACACTCTCATCAAGTTCCTTTGAATAGACTTGGGTTTTTTTTTCTCTTTCCCTCACTGGCTCTGTTCGGGAATTTTTTTTTTTCCTTCCATCGATGGGTTTTCAGAAGTTTCTAGATGATACACCTCGTCCTATCTGTTGGGAATGTGCAGGGGTGGGGGTGGGGGGGTTCTTGGATCCATCTGCCATGAGGAGGCGTTCATGCTGTTCATGAAGCCACCATGGTTGTCGATTCCTCGGAGAGCTTTGCTCTGAGCCGCCGCACGCTTCCCCTCGCAGGACTCCACTCCGCCAGTGTTTGGCCGTTGTGGAGGATCGCAGGCCCTTGTGGAGGATTGCAGGCCCTTGTGGAGGATCGCAGGCCCTTGTGGAGGATCGCAGGCCCTTGTGGAGGATCGCAGGCCCTTGTGGAGGATCGCAGGCCCTTGTGGAGGATCGCAGGCCCTTGTGGAGGATCGCAGGCCCTTGTGGAGGATCGCAGGCCCTTGTGGAGGATCGCAGGCCGTTGTGGAGGATCGCAGGCCGTTGTAGAGGATCACAGGCCCTTGTAGAGGATCGCAGGCCGTTGTAGAGGATCGCAGGCCCTTGTAGAGGATCACAGGCCGTTGTGGAGGATCGCAGGCCCTTGTGGAGGATCGCAGGCCGTTGTGGAGGATCGCAGGCCCTTGTGGAGGATCGCAGGCCCTTGTGGAGGATCGCAGGCCCTTTTGGAGGATCACAGGCCCTTGTGGAGGATCGCAGGCCGTTGTGGAGGATCGCAGGCC